GCAGGGTTGTTTACCAGTGCCATTGCACAATGTGAACTGGAACAGGCTCCAGACGTGGCTGCAGGTGGGGATGGAAATGCAGCTACTGCTGAAATGAGCTCAGTTTGCCAGAGCCTGCTGCCAACAATGCCAAGGTCATGGGGCTGGACTCGATGATCCTTCCAAAAGAGAATATTCTGCCATTCTGGAATTCTGTAAACCTGGAACCACCCAAACCAGAGCTGTGCTACAGCCCCTAGACATCGATTTAGGAACTGATGGCCACCAGCTCAATCACATACAGGAATTAATATTTTGGACAAAATCATTGCAACCTTATTGCTCTCAGCAAAGGGAGTATGCTTGGGTTTAAGTTAGACCTAAGATTTGTGGTAGGGGATGGACAGACTGATGCTCAGACTTGTGACCTGGCACAGCTGTGAAATCGATTCCTGCCCAGATTAATGAGCACAAACCAGGGCGTTTTAGGTGATTTTCAGTCTACAGAGAAAAATTTTTTCCAAATTAAGCATCCCTCAGACACCTACTCATTCACTTGTTAAGGCAAATAACTTGATTTTAGTCTTCAGGTTTCAGAAAAGAAGGAACAAAGCAGTTTTTCATGGTCCCCTTATTTTTCTTTTGGTCAGGAATCGATTTCACAGCTGTGCCTGGTCACAAGTGGGAGCATCAGTTTGCCATTCACCATCACAACCCTTAGGTTAATTTAAAACCAAACAAACTCTCTTTGCTGAGAGCAGGAAGGTTGGAGTGTGCCAGCTTTGGTTAAGACTGAACAATTTGATTTAAAAGAAAACCTTCAGGAACTAAAGCGAAGACCTGCCTGTGTCCCAAAACAATAAAAATGATCCATAGGTCTGAATCAGCACACCCACACTGAAATACCATTTATCACAGACATGCCAAAGAACAGCTGACAGTGGGAGCCTGTCATACTGTGCAGATGGAATAAAAGTTTTTGCCTTCTACTCTAGATCAGCATTTAAATCTAAATCCTTTCTAAGCCTGGCTCCTTTCCCATGACCTCCAAAATCCGGGTATAGCACGTTGTTACTTTATACAGGTTAACACATTGTGGAAAAAAAAAACCAACCAAGCCCCAAAACCAAACAAGGAACAATAAAAACCCTAATGAAAACATCACAATGATTAACTGTTGGAAATAAATTCCGAATCTCTCAGTTAAAAATAAAAATAGGGATTCACAGACATTTGCTACTCTGTGCAAAACACCTGGCCAGGGCACAACTGTGAATTACCCAGGATTAGAACAAAAACTTGATTTCAGAGTGGTCTATTTTAGTTTTTCTCAGTCTAACCAACTAAAGTGACCAAGATAGTTCAGAAGTTTCAGTATTTCACAAACCCATCAGTAACTCTTACATGCAGACAGGCAGGTGCAAGGAGAAGCCACCAGCATAAAGAGAATTTGCAGCAATGCTTCTCCCCAGCATGTCCTCCTCCACTACACGGGAGTCACTTCATTCTTTTATCTGTAATTCTCATTTTTATTTGTGTCATTCTCAACACCTGAGCACTCTGAAGTCCCAGCACCAGCTCAGCCTCCTGCTAACAGGATCACACAACATGTGGGATCCCTCCTGGCTGGCTCACAATCACCACTCAAGATGACCCAGGCTTAGAGTTTAATCTAATTATCATCTGAACCATCCTCTGAGGCTGCAAGTGTGCAGGTGACACCAGATCTTAAGGGCTCCAAGGGGAAATACCCTTTCAGCTCCAGTGAGAGAACTCAAAATCCCCCATCAAACACATCCAAAGCTGCTTTGCTGACACAAGTTCTAAAAACCAGGAGATGGGCAAGAAGGGAAAAATCTGTCTCTGTCTTTCAGCCAAATGGGTGTTAAAAAATAGGAAAAGAACCAGGCCTTCTGGAAATACAAACTGATTCAGTAGTTCTGGAGGAGGGCTGGGTTCTTGTGACATGCACTGAACAGACCTGTACTGAAGGCTCCAATCTGGAAGCTGAAAATTTGGTTCTGTACCAACATCACAGCAGGACTGGGGGGATTAGTCTGAATTAAATGCTTGGAAAAATGAAAAGCATTAGGTAAATACTGAGTACTATTAAAACCCTGAAGATACTTGACACAGAATAATTATTATTCATGCAAGATTACTGTGAAAATATTGGTTTATTTATGAATTAAATAAAGTTTGTATTAGGTAAGGGAACCACTGATAAGCCAAGAAAACAGAAATCCTACAGAAAAAAAAAATGTACAAAAAAGTACAAGTAACAAACCAAGCTACTTCCATATCAGACTGACTGATGGAGAAAACTCCCAAAAAAGAATTTTGGTTCTTCAATCTAGCTAAGTTTAAGATAGGGCAAAGAGATCTAGTCCCATGGAAGTAAATTATTTCTTTGACTTTTAGTTGGTGAAGATGAGGGACATTTCTGGTCCTGGGCTGTTTTAATTACTGGTCATTTGTGTCTCATCATCTCCAGATGAGGTTTGGGCAACCTATTCCTCCTAGAGAGTCTAAACTTGCAGCTGCTCTACAATTGCCCTTTCTACACCTGGTATCAACATCCTGCCACCTTAAAATACCAAAAATAAAGCTCTAAGAAAGGGGAGGATACAAAACCAACAAAACCTTGCCCTCCCAAATGTCCTTGGCAGAGCAGCTAAGGCCAGAATTCCTTCAGATGCAACGTGAAATGTGTGGCCCCCAGAAGAACACAAAACCTTTCCACATGGAATTCTGGACTCTAGAAGACATGCGGGGGCATTTCTGAAAGTTTCTCGGCAGTCCAAACTCCTGGCCACACACAGGCATGTAAAAGGCAGGGTACCAAAGCGTACCTGCCAAAACATCCTGCTGAAATCGCTGAGAGAAAAACCTTGAAATTTACACGGTGAAAATGTCATTTTCATTCAGAAACTTACTCAATGTGGTGACCTTATTTCTCCAAGAGGCTTGTATTGCATATTCTAGAGTTGTCAGGAAGTACCTGTGTGGTTTTTTTTACGTGTGCATCATATTTTACCTACAACAGTAAAATTTTCCAGCCTCAGCAGATTTTGTTCCACTGCCTGCACTATGAACAAAACCCACAACAGCTAAAAAGGGCTCTAACCTTTGCAAACCTTTTGGTCCTGAACTCTGTTCATGCTTCTAAAACAGGAAAGTGGTTTGCTGCACGTGACAATAGCTCCTTTGTACTTTGGATAGGAAATTCCTATTATCAATGGCAGCTTTTGAAAAATTCATCCTTGCAGAAAAGCTGAAGTTCAGTGAGCTTATGTTATTTGAGGAAGAGCTTTGAAGTGTCTATTTCTAATCCTCCACTCTGAATGACAAAGGAGTTATTTGCAATTGTGAATCTTTAAAATGCAGATCTGAACTGATGTCTCTGTTTTTGTAACTCATTAACACAAACCCTGCAATTCAGCTTTTACTGAACATCTTTTTTCCATTCCAAAGTGAAGCACTAGTGCTGTATCTTACTTAAGATGATTGTGCTCTTGGTGAGCCAGTGTTTCCATTCTGAGACCCAACAGAAATTACATTTTCAAAGACATCAGAAATAACATTTTCTTTATCTGCTATTACAAAGTGACAGCCACAGCCCAGGATCTCTTATTGTTCATGTATTTTACAACTCTGAAAATGGACGGCAATAGGATTCGCAGCTGGCAGAATGTCTCCAAAGAAGAGTTTTTCTATCAAATTTTACACAAAAGCAGAAAGAAATGAGGCTCTGGGCCCCGGATCCCACATGATCCAGCAGATGCTGTTTCCAGCTTCAGCAAGTTTTCATTCAGAAGCAACTGCCTCCATGTTCAACAATGCCCCATGGATCACACAAGATCCTGTTAGCCTGTATAAATGAGAGGCCTGGTTTAGAATTACAGTAAAAATATAATAAAACACTGCACTATCACCATTTCCCATCTCACAGGGGTGCACATGTAGGGGTCATGATGATCCTACATGGAAAGGACTGTAGTTAACTGCGTATTCCCAAAAATGCATCTATTTTTTATTGTGCTATTAACGTTGTAGTAAAATCTGTATTAGAAAACTCATCTGTGCATCCTCCCCTTGACATCTCTGAACTTGGAAAGATGCAAATTGTTTGTTCAAGAACAGCTCAAAAAAGAAAATGAACCTGCAGTTGCTATTTTGGCTCCAGTGAAGTCAGAGAGGTCTTTTTCACTTCTGCTTTGGTACCTGACACTGCCTCACATGGCCATGGGGATGAAGGAGCCACACAGAAAGGCCAAATCCTACAACTTGCACCTGCTCAAAATGGCAAAACCAGCGGTGGAGCTGTCGATGTTGGTCCCCAGCCAACAGACACGTGGCACAGCTTTGGCACACGGAGCCAGCTGCAAAGAGTGACCCCTCAAAGATGCTCTGGGAGCTCCAGCATAAGCAGGGACCCCCTAAAGCCACTGTGGGAGCCCCACCGGGATCCCCTAAAGCTGCTGTGGGAACCCCACCATAAGAAATGACCCTCTGAAGCTGCTGTTGGAACTCCAGTGTAAGGAATGATGCCCTAAAGCTGCAGAAGATGGGAACCCCAGTGTAAGGAATGATGCCCTAAAGCTGCCATGGGAGCCGCACCATGACCTTCTAAAGGTGCTGCCATGGGAGCCCCATCACAAATAATGACCCCTCTCACAAAAAGCGAGACCCCAGACACCTGCGGGAGGAGCAGCAGCCCAGCACCTCCATCCCAGCACCCGCATCCATCACCCCGCAGGTTCCTGCTGCTCCCTTCGTCCTGCCCAGGCAACCCACACTGCACACACCCCCTTCGGCTGGATGGAACCGCACGATGGAGCTGGGCACAGCCTCCCTGCTCACAGTCCGTCCATCCATCCATCCATCCATCCATCCATCCATCCATCCATCCATCCGCCCGCCCATCCCACGCGCACCCGCGGGCGGGGAGCGGCGCGGGGCGGCGGCGGGCGCTGCCCGCGGGGCGGGCGGGCTCTGTCGCGACTCTGGGCGACACTCACCTCCTGAAGTCAAAGGGCATGGTGGTGGCGGTGGTGGTGGCGGGCGGGCTGCGGGCGCCCCCGGCCCCGGCTGTGGCCTCGCTGCCGGCGGCTGCAGGGCCAGGAAGTGACGGCCCCGGCCCCGGCCCCGGCGCCGCGCAGCCCCAGCCCATTGGGCGGCCGAGCCGGCCGGGGCTTCCGCCGCCGGGTTACGGAGCGGCCCCACCGCGCTGGGGATCCGGGATCCGGGATCCGGGATGCGGGATCCGGGGTGAGGGATGCGGGATGAAGGATGCGGGGTACGGGGTGAGGGATGCGGGCGGCCCCGGGGCTCCCGCACTTTGCCGGGTCCGCTCGGCGCTCGCCGTGCTCCGCTCAGCCCCGCGGCTCTCAGAGCGCTGGCAGCACGGAATTACGGAGTTGTTTTGGTTGGAAAACAGCTCTAGGATCATCGAGCGCCAGCTGTGCCCCATCCCCACCCTGTCCCCAGCCCGGGACAAGGGATTAAATTTAGAAAAAGCTTCCCATTCATTAGATGAGGCATTTCCCCAGTCTTTGCATTTTGCCTGCATGCCTTTTTCTGGCTGCACCCCTGGCAGGTTCAGTGCCGTGCATGAGGCCAATCCTGTCCTGCTCCATGCACCATCACTGTGCCATAATTCTGTCACCAGCTGACAGCACCCTCAGGGACGCTTTGTGCAGGTAGTGTCACTGCTGCTGTGTTCAGAATCACTGTCACTCTCATTCACGTTACACTGCACTGCAGGAACAAAATACAACTATCCTTGCCTTTAAGTCTAAAAGCAGGGCAAGAGAAAAAGTGAAATGAGAGCAGTCTGAGTATGCAATATACTGCATTTCTAATTGATTCTGTACCTTTCTTCCTCCTCCTCCTGCTGTCATCATTTCTTTACTTAGAAATGCACATCTTTCCATTTTTTCCCCTTCACACAGAAACTAGGCCCATACCTGGTTAAAAAAAAAAAAAAAAAAAAGAGAAATTCAAATTGAAACAAGCAGGGAAAAACTACTGGATAGTCAGAGCTGTTAATCAATACCATTTTCATTCAAAGAAAGAGATAATAATTCATGCTGGGAATATAAAAAACTGAACTGGAGGAATCCCAAGTATGAGATAACACAGCATTATCCCCCAGAAGCCCCCGGGGAATAGATAAAAATACCTAATTGGTTTTTTGGGGTTTTTTTGATCTCAGACACCTAAATTATCCTACTGCATTGTGCGAGCAGATTCAGCAGATTGCTAACAGATCAGCCACGAAATCCCGCTGCCCTTCACACTGCGCTCCAGAACTGAGCAGCCCAGTGAAATTAATGAGACAATTCTCATCTCTCATGAGGTCAAGCTGTTGCACAGGCGTAGCCAGGGGGGACGATCGTTGTGGAAAAAAACCAAAACAAACAGTGCCTGCCGAGGTGCTTACACAACCCAGGCCTCCTGGCAAGGCCCCCACATCATTAGCTGTTATTAACTGTCTTGTGCAGAGGCATCGGCTCTCTCAGGAGCCAAGAGAGTGCTGAAGGCTTTACAAAAGCTCTTCACTTGTTCAGTACATAAATCTGGAGGTGGCCTTGAAGAGTTCTCGTCCTGCAGGCTCGACTCTCAAGAGCACAGCCCAGTCAGAGCTCGCCTTGTGGGGATTTGATTTTATTTTCCACTAAAAGGTCAAACTGGAGAGAGCCGTGGGCTCAGAGCAGCTTTGCAGCCGGGCCCAGCTCGCTCACATCCTTGCCAAGGGAAGAAGAAGTTAATGCCCCGAGATAAGACCCTCGTCACAATATTGTTTAATTACATAAGGCCTCCATTGAGCTGGAGATAAGAACAGGAATTTGTCCCCAGTCCAGCTGGGTGGGGCAGCTGAGCTCATGGTGTGTGATAGAATGGGAACCAAAAGCAAGGGGTTCGTCTGAGGTGCTTGTCCCACCATTAGAGCTGCGATGAGCGAACTGATACTGACAACTGATGGAAAAGTTCGCTTTCTTTTTTGTGGGAGCAATAAACCAACCTTTTTCTGACAACAGCAGACTTAAAACTATTATTTCCTTTCAAATTGCATTGAGAAAGTTCATTGAGCCAAACTGCTACTCTGAAACCAGTACACCAATATTTTCAGACTCTTTAACAACCAAGAAACCAAAGCGGGAGGATTAATTGACTCACCTAAGACTCCAGAGTAAGATCAGCTTCAGTTCTAAATTAGCAAACAAATCCCTTCAGTCCTAAATCACGTTCATAATTCTTCTTGCAAAAAAGAGCATTTTCCTCATTCCAGATCACTTTGTTACAGATAAATCAGATCATGGATGAGTCTATCTGAGTTCCTGACTAATGTCTCACAACAACAAAACTGGTACCTCCTTCCTAGGAAAAAAACAGTGACCAAAAAGTGCTTTATTTGAATCATCTTCTTGGTTTTTTATTTAATAAATTTGTTTTTGCAGGTAAAATGATTCATGCCCAGGTTTCTGGGATATTTTTCATCTCCAGTTGATATGCTATTTTTAAGTTTTGACTTCACATTAATAAAGTTAATTTAGAGAGTTTATAGTAATCATTGATAACTCAGCCTTGAGGAGACTGAGGAGAGGTCTCCTGGAACTTCCTCCCGATGGGCAGCTCTGATCTCTGTGACAGGAACAGCACCCAGGGCAGGGCTGGGGCTGTGCCAGGGGAGGTCAGGCTGGGTTTTGGGAAAGGTTCTGCCCCAGAGGTGCTGGCACTGCCCAGGCTCCCCAGGGATGGGCACAGCCTGAGGCTGCCAGAGCTCCAGGAGAGCTTGGACAGCGCTCCAGGGATCCCAGGGTGGGATTTTGGGGCTGTGCAGGGACAGGAGCTGGACTTGGATCATCCCTTCCAACTCAGCATATTCCATGATTCTCTGAATTTTACTAATCTCAATTTTGTACTCTCAAAGTTTTCTCTTTCCCAGGAAAGTACAACCTCAATCCTCACCTGCTCACCACGGTTTGGGCTGATCTAACATCCTGTAACACTCATATATACAATTTCCTTTTTCAATCTGTTTATGATTCCTTACACAGGGCTGAGTTTCAGCCTCTGGCTCCTGCCACAGCTCTTGCATTGGGAGCTTGGTGTGGGTGCTGTGTGGGTCACGAGCAGCACTGTTTGCCAAAGGTAAAGCTGGGTACACACACTCATCCTTTCGGGTCAACTGGGCTTCGTTCATCGATGGGGAATGCGCTGTGACTCTTAGCAAGGTGCAGTGCTTATTCACTTATTCCCCTTCTGCCACAGAGGTGTGTAAAAACACAACCAAAAGCTGCCCCGTGGCTTTTGTTGGGATGTTGTGAGGCAGGGCCCACCCCAGGCCATTTCCCTGGGTGATGTGATTTTATTCAGCTTGCAGGGGTGGGCTGGGAATGGAGTGAGCGCATTGCTCTGCAGGGCGTGTGCCCCCGATTATGCGTTGTGTTCTGCAGGGTGTGGCCTGCAGCCCTGAGCACAACTGCCGTTCAGGAAAGGGAAAAAACATTGCAGAGAATGAAGAGAAAAAAAATGTTATAAAGCGTTTTCAAAATATAAATACCAGCGTTTGAGGAAATCTTGCTGCAGGAACAGGATGCGCGTGGAGGTGAAGAATTCAAATACAAGTGCTGTGCTAAGTATAATCAGTAATGAAAGCTCAGCCCTTCCTCTTAGGATTTGGATAAGCTACGTGTTGGCAGTACTTCCCAAATTCCAGGGAACAAAAAGCAAGCTTTGAATGTTGTCTTAAAGTCTTGTTGCAGTGTAGTTTGTTTATCATTACCACATGTAATGATGTCCATCTATTTTTGTGAGATTGGACTTCAAATACACAATAAAATAAATGAATATCTACTGAATTTACTGTGTAAGTTCCTTCTTTATTGAATAGCTACACTTTTTCCTTAAGAAGACACAACGACGTCTGTTCTTCCTGCTCAATAGGCAGAAGAAATAATCTGATTATTTTTCAGTCCCAGGGATGGGCACAGCTGATGTGTATGAGTGTGGGGAAGGGGGTCTGTGCAGCCACATGGCCTCTCCCTTGTCCTGTGACAGTGGGCAAATGCTCAGAGGAATCTGCCACTCTTAAAGCCCTAGAAAATTTACCCTGCTTTTAATACAACCTGCCTGTTCTCAAGCCTGTTTCCTGGCACGTTTTGGGTGCCAGGAATTTACTATGGGAAAGTTACGGCGAGCAGAACATTTTTTGTATTTTTGTGTTTTATTTCTTTTTCCACTGTGGAAATGAATGCCACAAGGAAGTTGCAGCCCCTGTCCCAGGCTTACCTCATGCTTTGTAGAGCACCCCTGCGGTGGTGAGTGTTCCGTGTGCTTCAGGAGACTGCAAACACCTGAGCAAAGGTCATGGCCAAAGGGAGATGCTAGTTAACAGTTAACTAGGGTGAAATCCTGGGCAGAGGACTTTGAACACTAAGAGGGCTAGATCTCAAGGAGATCTGGGATTAGCAGCAGAGGAGAGTTGAGGATTATGCCTGATTCTCTCTGTTCTTTAGTGAGTTAAATGCCTTAAATTCCCTTTACACTGGAGAGGAATAGTTCAGGACCAGGCCTTGAAGGACTCGAGTGCCCTTAGCCTGTACACTGATGGTAAGATCCAACATCAGCCAGTGGGAAATACTCAGGAGAGGGGGACCTCTGAATACATCACTGTGAAACTCATACAGGCCACAAAGTGTTTGCTTCTGGGCTTAGAGAACACATTGGGCACCCACATCTAAATTAGTCTTGTCAGTGAAAATAAGCCTGGGAGATGAGCCACCCTCTGCTTTAAATACTGATAGAGTGCTGGAGAGCCCTTCCCTGGAGGACAGGTCTGGACATTTGACACAGAGTGTGTGAGAAACTTGAGGGTATGAAGGGAGAAAAATGTGAAGGCTGAGCCACTGTGTAACCAGAAGTGCAGAATTTCTGGTGTTGAATTTGGGCTTTTACCTCGGAAACAGTGACTGTGCTTGGGCACTGGAGGAGGGGTCCCTGACTCACTGATGTTAAATATCTACAATCACTCCTGAGACTTCCCTAATGCTGCCTCCATCATGCCTGGGAAATTGGGTCCTGCAGGTCTTCCTGACAAAAGCCCCAGCTGATT